GCTGGCCGACCCGAGGCACCTGGCGCGAAGCAGTCGGTCATGGTTTCGCAGGGTGTTGATCTTCATGGGCTCGCTGGCCAAGGTTGGGGCCTTCAGCAAGGGAAGAGCATCTTCCCGCCAGCCCTTGCGGTTATGCCGCATGTTAGTGGCGGTGGAGCTGGCTTGTGGTATCCGAAGACAACGTCGCGGGCGCCCCCTCGCGAGGAGGTGCCGAGTGTGCTGATGCGGACGCTGTTCGTGGGCATCTCGCGAGTGGCTTTCCGTGAGCTCTCCAAGCCGTTTTTCGTCGACTGCGAAGTCAGGGCGTCGAACCCAACGGCGCCCACTGGTGATCCTGCTCGTGGCGATTGCTTTTCTTGTCGACGGGGCAGAGGGCGTGGGCATCGTCGATAGGCCCATCATCGTCACGAAGCCGCCGTGCTCGAGCTTCTCGAACGCCAGGCCGAGTGCGGCCCCGCCGCTGCAGGATCGTGGAAACGCAGCGTGGGAGCAGGCCAGTCCCGGGCAGCCCGATCTGGCCACGCGCCTGTGCGTGTGCGCCGTGGACGAGAACGCCGGCCGCCGCTGAGGTGCGTCGATGCCTGCCTGGCGCGAGGACGCAGCAGGTGCCGTTCGACACCTGTCACGAGCGGTTCACCGCCCTCGCCGAGTACCCGTCCGCGTCGCGTCCAGCGTGGGCGTGGTCAACTCGGCCTTCTTCTGGATCTTTCACGTGTTCGAAGATCACCGGGACAATATTCCCCAGTCCGCCCGCACCCTCAAGTCTGCACGAACGGGATGGGTACGGAAAGAATGGGTACAATGCCCAACAGCGGATCTGGTTCATTTTGAACAGGACTCGCTGTCCACGCCGCCGCGGCCTGTCTCCATTTGAGACAGAAGTCCGCCTGCCCAACAGCGGCCGCTGTTGGTTTGGGACAACATTTGCTGTTGGGCATTGTACCTGTTTTTTCCGAACCCATTTCGGGCGTCCATGTCAAGTCGTTGCTGCGGATGGCGGCGGGGGGTGGGTGGGCAAGTCGTTTGATGGCACCCAGAATGGCTGCATCGTGCTCTGGATTACTGCTTCAGCACGATCGACTACGCGAGTGTATCTTGGTGCTTGTCTTTTGTTCGACTGATGTTTGCGAGAGCAGGATTGGCGCATGCATCGCACGGAAGACATGCATTGTGATGACGCGAGTGCGGGTCTGGCGTTGCGAGTCCGAGGTCAGTGTGAGACGGCCAAGACAGGCAACGAGCTGAGCGTGTTTGTCGGTGCCGCTTCGTGAAGATTTTGCTGAAGCCAGCGGTCAGCGCCGCGCGCGACGCCGACCTCGTCTTCCGCTCGCGGCCGCCACCTTTTGGAAGCGGTGGTGGTCGGCTTTGCGCGCTGGACCTGCAGTGGGGCGGCCTGCCGCGTATGCCGCGTCGCTCCGGCGCCGCCGACTACGTCGAAGGTCCGCGAGTTCGCGTGGCGCGAGGTGCAGGCCGGCGAGACCATCGCGGATGAAGGCAGGCGGTTCTGGCGGAGCCTGGCGTCGGTCCTGCTTGAGGCGCCCGGGGCCGCGCCCGACGGCGGCGACGGGCGCCGCGGGAGGGCCGTGCGCCGCGAGGTCAGGCGGATGCTGGACGATGGCCCTGCCGCTGAGTGCACCCGTGCGGCCTCGAGCAGCGGATCGGTGTCCGAGGCCGAGGAGCCGCGCCAGTCCGGTGCGAGGAGGCACGGGGGCTGCCGTCGCCAGTCCCGAGACGCGCGTCTTTCCACCCATGCAGGTGGATCGTTTCAGGCCCCTGGTGACTTGGACAGATTGAAACTCTCGGGCTCACGGCTCTTTTCGGCTTGATCGACGGGCGACCCCGGCGAGCAGAAATACTAGCGGGCGGGTATATAGTGTAGGCTTCGCCTCGAAAACACGCCTGGCTTAGAATGGGTAGTTGAGGATTGAAGTTTAAGCTGGAAGTCTTGCGCGGCTCGGGTGCGCTCCTGGGCCGTCGCGGGATATTTGGAGAGCCCTGGGGGGGCGCTATTGCTGCCCGGGGACCCTTGTAATAGGGGGGATGCAGTCAGGGAGGCGTGGCCAGGGGTGCGCGGGGGGGGGGGGGCTTAGAGGAGCGCAGAAGCCCTGCCAGACAGCCTTTGGCATTCTTTCACGCCTCAACGTGCCGTGGGCACGGTGGCAGATTAGGGTTCGACTTGTGCGAGGAGCGCGTGTGCCCGTCGTTGTCGTGGAGTGTGAGATGGAAGCGCGTTGTCGCCAGTCTGGTTGTGCCGCTTCGGTGGCATGAGGATGGCCAGAAAAGTGCAAGCCGACCGCGTGCCCCCCTGCCCACTCTGTCGTCTGCTGGGGTGACCACGAACTTCGAACTTTCTGCCTGCTCCCCGCCTGTGTCGCGCGCGCCGCGCGTGGTTCGCCGCGCCTCCGCGCCGCTGCGCGCCCGCGCGTCGCTCGCGCGCCCGCGAGCTGCCCGCGCGCTGCCCGCGCTGCCCGCGCGGCCACGTGCCGCCGGCGTTCGCCGCCCGTTCGCCGCTATCCGGGATTGCACAGAGGAGCTCGGCGCCTCCTTGCCCCGCCGAGATTCTTGGATGGTCCGTTGGAAGAGCTGGAGGGTTTCAGAGAAGCAGCTGGCAGGCTCCTCAGCCGGAGCCAACCCCGTGCCGTGCTCAGCCACCAGCTCCTTGCTCGCTCCCAGTCCGTGGGGCAAGCGTATGCGCAGCTCGTGCGCAACCCTTCCTGCGCCTTTGCTCAGGTCCCAGGCAGCTCCTAGGCAGCTTTTCCGAGGCTCGTGGTCTGCGCCCGGGCAGCTGCTAGACAGTGTTTGCTACGCTTCTGCGTTGCTGTCGTCGGGTTGTCTCAAGCCCCCGTCCCTTCTTCGCCTCTCTTCTTCCCCGCCCTGCGTGTGGTGTGGGACGCTGCATGGGGGCTTGCGGTTCTCGCGGATGGGGCACGTGCCCTCCTTCCTTTCCGTCCCTCCTTTGCTGTTCCGTGCTCAGTCAGTTGTCTCCTCTTTCCTCCTTCTCCTTTCCTCCCCCCGCAGTTTCGCGAGTGCGAGACTGCAGTCTCTATTGCGACCTCGCCAAGAATCGGAGGTTGATAGACCTCCTACCCTGACGCGTCGATTAAGGAATTGGCCGTTTTCGGTTCGCGAGAGGGCGTCGCGACCGTCATTTTTGCGGGTCCAGGTCCGTCGGTTTCGGTCCTAGGCCGCTATCACTGTGGGGAGGCTTACTAACTGGGGTTTGTCCACCGCCGAAAGAAACACCCGGCAAGCTCCTTCGTTTTCGGGTGCCCCTGCGCAAGTGAGGACGTGGTCGTGCCTGCGAGGGCGCAGGCCGGGCGCGGCTCGCAGCGGGGAGGCTGCAGGGCTTGGGTCGTCGCGGTGGCGTCCCCATCTTCTTGGGGAGTGTGGGGGGTCGTGGTTCACCACCCACCAATCCACCCCAACCCAACCCGAAGGCCTCAATTTGCCCTCCATTTCCAGTGAGTGTGGGGGAGTCGGGGAGCACTGAGAAAACAACCCGAAATTCTAGTCTTCGGGTTGGCTTGGGGTGGTCTGGTAGGTAGTCAGTGGTCGGGGGCGTCTTGTGCGGGGGTAGCTCACCCGGCGCGCTGGCAACGTCTTGCCTGTCGGCCCAATGCAGGCGCACCCTCGCCAGCAGAGCTGAGGGTAATGGCTTCGCAGTTGTCCGGCTGCTTGTGGCGAGCCAGGCCGCCGTGTCACTCCAACGGTGCAGCAGAGAGGCGGGGATGAGGCTAAGACCCGCCCTCCTCCTCCTCCTCCTCCTCCTCCTCCTCCTCCTCCTCCTCCTCCTCCTCCTCCTCCTCCTCCTCCTCCTCCTCCCTCCTCCTCCCTCCTCCCTCCTCCCCTCCCTCCTCCCTCCTCCCTCCTCCCTCCTCCCTCCTCCCTCCTCCCTCGTTTCCGTGCCTCGCGTGTATCGGTTGTAGGTGGGAGGCCTCTTGGACGACTGGGGATCTCTTGGAAGCTTCTTGGAGGCGCTTTGGGATGTTCCGGGGGGCCTCTGGTGGGTTCCTGGGGGCCTCTTGGGGCCCCGTTTCGGATTTTGCGAGCCTCCCAGGGCTTCTCGGGGGTCTCTTAGGGGGCCTGCTGGCGGTCTCGGGGGTCATCAAGTGTCGGAGGGCTCGCAGTGTCATTTCGGAGTTCCCTCACGGGGGCCCCTCGTGGGGCCCTCTTGTGGCCGTTCTGGGGGCTTCCCGGGCTGTCTTGAGGACCTGTTGGGCCGTGTTGCGGACCTCTTGGGGGCCTGCTGGGCTGTCTTGGGGCCGTGTTGGGCGGTCGGGAACCCGAAAGTGCGAAAACGCTAGGATCCATCAACATGTTAGGGGCCCTCTTGGGCTTGGGGCCCTCTTGTGGGTTCACTTCGACCCGTCGTGGGGCGTTTTGTGGGTCTTTTAGGCCGTGCGGCGGCCACCTTGGGCTTCTGGAAGAGCTGTTGGGCCGTTTCTTGTGCCCCTTTGGGCCATCTTGAAGGTTTCGTGGTGCCCCCCCCCCCCCCAGCCTCCTTGGAGGCGTAGCGCGAAGATGCGCGAGAGGCCCCAGGAGCGCGCAGAACTCTGGACAGCGGGCCCCTCTCGAGAGGATGGCAGTGCTCCACAACGGAGGACTCGAGGGCACCTGGGGGCACTCCGCTTCTCGCCTCGGGGCACGGCGGTGGATTGACCACGGGCGTGTGCGTGCGTGCATCTGCTCGTGCATGTCTATCGGTGTGTGTGTGTGTGTGTTTCTGTGAGCGGGCGCGGCTTCCTCCTCCTCCCCGCCAGCGCTGGGCGCCCTCCTCCCTTCCCTCGTGCATCGTGGCTTAATTCGCGATTGTTCGTCCAACATTTGCTCTTCCGCCAGCGCAGTCACCCTGCCTAGCCACCGACGCAAAGTGTGTGTGTGTGTGTGTGTGTTTGTGTGTGTGTGTGTGTGCAATTCTGCATGCAGCGTTGTGCGGTGTGATCACATCATGGTATGATGTATGCGTGTGCAGGTCGCTGCGCTTTGTGCTTCCGTGCCGCAGTCATTTTAGCTGTATCTCCAGATGCCATCGGTTACCAGATGGCAGCTGCAAAGCCTACCACCGAAATCGATCTCTCTGGTATCGGTCCCAGGGGGGAGAGGGCCAGAGGGTTGGTGAGATTTGTGAGGAGCGGATGCCAGCGAAAAGGCTTAGAATCAGGAGGGGAAATCACACACACAGACACAATTAATCGTCGATTCCCCAGGAAATATGGGAAAATATGGGAAGTGGGGGGGAAGACAAAAACCCAGGAAATACAGGAAAATATGGGGAATCCTGCTATTTGCGTCTATTTCTTTGGTGTGTCCCCGGGCCTCCTCATCGGACTCCGGGACGACTTGGCGCAGCAGGGTCTCGACGGTCTTGGCTTTGCCCCTCCTTCTGCCAAGGCCAGATCCGAGGTGGGGGTGGCGGCGGGGAGGCAGCCCAGGGCCGACTCTGCCGGGCATCGGCGCCGACCGCTGGAGAAGGGCGACGTTGGATGTATGCTTCTGTCGCCCATTCCGTTTCTTAGGTACCGTCTGTGTTCTTTCACTTCTCATGCCTCCAGCTTTTGCCCCCCGTCGTGTGCTTCCTCCGTGGCGGCAGTTTCTCCTCGGCCGTCTCTCCCAGGTTCCTCGTGCCGATTCGTGCTTCGGCGTGCCTGACGCTTGGCCAGCTTTGCTGCTGTCTCTCTCTCTCTCTCTCACTGTTCCACTTCCTCTGTCTCTCTCCTCTCTGTCTCTCTTTCTCTTTTCCTTCCTTCCTCTTTCTCCACTTTCTCCACTTTCTCTGTCTCTCTTTCTCTCTTTCTCTTTCCCTTTCTTCCTCTCTCTCTCTCTCTTGAGCCTGCCTCTCCGTGTCTGTCCGTCTGTCCGTCTGTCTGTCAACAGCACCCGATTGTGGCCGATCGTCTGCCCCAGATGCCTCCAAGACGCCCCCGAGGGGGCCCCACGGGCGCTCCAGGACGCCTCACCATGGCCTCAACACGGCCTAGGAGCCGCACAAGATATGGCTGATCGTCTGCCTCAGATGCCTCCAAGACGCCCCCGAGAGGGCCCCAAGAGCGCTCCAGGACGCCTCAGCATGGCCTCAACACGGCCTAGGAGCCGCACAAGATGCCCCAGGAGGCCCTCCAGGAGGGCCTCGAGGGGCAGACGCCGCACCGCTCTCGTCAAGAAGCATTTGTCTTTAGCAGCCTCGTTTTTGTCTGAACACCGTCGTGGCCGACCCAAGAGGCCCCCAAGAGGCCCCCAAGAGGGCCCCAAGACGGCCTAAGAAGCCCCGAGGACGGCCCAAGAGGGCACTAAAATGGGCCCAAGAGGAGGAATCTGAGTTGTCATGTTGAGCCCTCCGCCCCAAGATGCCTCCCGAGGCCGCCAACAGTCTACCAAGACGCCCCCAAGAGGCCCCAAGAGTCCCCCAGGAGGTGCGAAACAGGACCCAAGCAAGCTCCACAGAGGCCCAAGTGGCTTCAAACTTGGTTCTATTCAATTACGACCCCGAGAAGACTGTCGGGCCCTCCCCTCAAAAGGGCACCCGCCAAGAAGCGCTCGGAAGAAAGGATGACCCACCCAAGACTCCAGGCAACCCCCCCCCCCCCCCCAGGAGGCCTGCAGACCAGAGTTTTTGAGATCTGGCTTGCACGCGCGAAGACGCTGCAGGATGGCCCGAGACACCACGAATAACACCTCCAGCTCCAGCCCAAGCCATTCGATTCCTTCGCGCCCTCGGGCTCCGGTGAGCTCTCCAAGTGCCGCGCCTCGCCCGAGGTGCCCCGGATCGTCCCACTTTTGGCCGCCCGAGGCCGGAGCTGCGCCCCGCCTGTAATTACTGTCCGGTTCCGCTGCACTCGCGCGGCACCCGCGCGGCGACAAGTTTGCGCGGCCTGTTCCACCGCCGCGCCCGCTCTTGGCATCGTGAGGTTTTCGATGTTTCCTTGGATTCGTGGATGCTCTCCTGAGGCCGGAGCCACCGCCCGAAATCCAATTCAGGGGATGAGGAGGAGGAGGAGGACATGGACTGAGAGGAAGAGGAGGAGAAGGAGGAGGGGGAGGAAGGGAGGGAGGGAGGGAGGTATGATGGACGTTCCTATGTGTCCGCGATGCCAGATTTCACCATTGTTGATGCGAGGATTGTTGTCATTCTGATAGCGGATTCCCTGCAGGTTCGTGCTCCGCCGCGGCATGGATCTCAGAGGTCATAGTGAGTCGCTTCGGTTTTACGCATACTTTTCCTCTAGCACCGTGTGGCAATTTCCTTTACTCCTCCATGTCGTCGTTCACCGCAGAGGCCGTTGCATTGGACGATGCCGTGGCCTATGTTTCTCGCATAGCTTCTGACAGAGCCGGACATGAGAAGCTAGCTAGATTGAACGTGTGACATTTTTTTTAAACGAGTGTGTATGCCTATCATTGTTTGGCTTGAGGCGTCCAGCAGAACAGAACAAAGGAGCAGGAGGATGAGGAGGGGGAGGAGTAGGGGGAGGGGGGAGGGGGAGGAGGAGGGGGAGGTGGCCGAGGAGGAGGAGGAGGAAGAATGGATATGGCATATTGTCAACAGAGTCCTACCCTTCTGCAGGCGACATTCTACCTGGGACCATTGGGAACATAGTGTGCTGCGAACGAGCTTATTTTGTCTGTGCAAGTGTGCGAGCATACACTAGCACAACTTAGTACGCTTAACACGGCCATCGTACGTGATGTCAATTCGGCCTCTATCGAGGACGCCTAAGGCGAATCACCGCCGCCTCCTGCCTTTTGGAATCGCCCATGTGGCCGTGCGTTGTAGCAAGAGCTCTGCCAAGCTATCGGACCATGTGTTCCCCCAGCCGTTGTGGAAACCCTTCGGGGAACATTGGGGGGAGGATGGCGGGGAAGATCAGGAGGAGGAGGAGGAGGAAAATGGAGGGGCATCTTGGAAGCCTCTGGGGGCACTCTTGGGGCCTCCTGGGAGCTTCCTGGGAGCCTCTTGGAGTCATCTTGGGGGCCTCCTTGGGCCTCTTGGGGGCCTTTGGGGCTTCTCGGGGGCCTCTTTGGCCGTCTTGGGGCATTCCTGGCCCGTCTGACGCCATCAGAAGCCGTTTTGGGTGGCTCTCTGGGCCGATTTGGGGTCCTCTTGGGGTGCTCCAGGACCGTCTTGGAGGCCATCTTTGGTGTTTTGGCGTTTTGGAGGCCGCCGTCTTGGGGCCCTCTTGGGGCTGTCTCTGGGGCCTCTTGGGCCGTTCTGGGGCCATCTTGAGAGCCTCTTGGGCGATCTTGGGGCGATCTTTTGGGGTTCTTGGGCCGCCTCGGACCATCGGAAGGCTGAACAAAAGGCAAATGCCAAACTCCTTACGAGTTTGGCCTCTGAAGAGGATGAGATGATGATGAGGATGATGATGATGAGGAGGCGGAGGAGGAGGAATAGGAGGAGGAGGAGGAGGAGGAAGAGGAAAAGGAAGAGGAGGAGGACGAGGAGGAGGAAGAGGAGGAGGAGGAGGAGGGAGAGGAGGAGGAGGAGGAGGAGGAGGAGGAGAGGAGAGGAGGAGGCAGGGGTAGGGAGGGAGGAGGGAGGGAGGAGGAGGAGGAGGAGGTGGAGGAACGAACACGAGGCCATGTGCAGAGGAGTGATGAGAAGGAGGAGGATGAGGAGGAGAGTAGTAGTAGTAGTAGTAGTAGTTAGTAGTAGGAGGAGGAGGAGGAGGAGGACAAGGAGGAGGGAGGAGGAGGAGGAGGAGGATGGGAGATCGAAGGAGGAGGAGGAGGGAGGAGGAGGAGGGAGAGGAGGTGGAGGAGAGGAGGGAAAGGAGGAGAGGAAGAGGAGGAGAGGGAGGAGGAGGAGGAGGAGGAGAGTAGGAGGTGGAGGAGGAGGAGCAGGGATGATGAGGAGAACGAGGATGAGGAGAACGAGTATAATAATAAGGAGGTGGAGGGAATGGACAAGGACGAGCGAGAAGGAGGAGGCGGAGGAGGATGACGAGGATGAGGAGGAGGAGGAGGAGGAGGGAGGAGGAGGGAGGAGGAGGAGGCAACGGAGGACAAGGATGATGATGCTGATGAGTAGTAGTAGTAGTAGTAGTAGTAGTAGTAGTAGTAGTAGTAGTAGTAGTAGTAGTAGTAGTAGTAGTAGTAGTAGTAGTAGTAGTAGTAGTAGTAGTAGTAGTAGTAGTAGTAGTAGTAGTAGTAGTAGTAGTAGTAGTAGTAGTAGTAGTAGTAGTAGTAGTAGTAGTAGTAGTAGTAGTAGTAGTAGTAGTAGTAGTAGTAGTAGTAGTAGTAGTAGTAGTAGTAGTAGTAGTAGTAGTAGTAGTAGTAGTAGTAGTAGTAGTAGTAGTAGTAGTAGTAGTAGTAGTAGTAGTAGTAGTAGTAGTAGTAGTAGTAGTAGTAGTAGTAGTAGTAGTAGTAGTAGTAGTAGTAGTAGTAGTAGTAGTAGTAGTAGTAGTAGTAGTAGTAGTAGTAGTAGTAGTAGTAGTAGTAGTAGTAGTAGTAGTAGTAGTAGTAGTAGTAGTAGTAGTAGTAGTAGTAGTAGTAGTAGTAGTAGTAGTAGTAGTAGTAGTCATAGTAGTAGTAGTAGTAGAAGGAGGAGGAGGAGGAGTCAGGAGGAGGAGGAGGAGGATAATGAGGGAGGAGGAGGAAGAGGAGTCAGAGGAGGAGAACGAGGAGGAGGAGGAGGATAGGAGTATCATAATAGTAACATCATGATGATGATTATGATGATGATGATGATGAGGAGGATCAAGGCTCCCAATTGAGAGCGGTGACGCAGCACGCGCTTACCAGCAAGCTCTTACCACCAAGGCTCCCGAGAGCGAGCGGCAATGCAAGCATCTCTGGGCACGAGGACTCTGAACAGAGAGCGGTGACTCAACAAGCTCTTCCCAGCAAGGCACCGAGCAGAGAGCGGTGACGTAACACGCGCTTACCAGCAAGGCTCTCAAGAACGAGCGGTGACGCAACAAGCTCTTACCACCAAGGCTCCCAAGAGCGAAGGGTACCATGAGCCATCTCGGGCAGTTTGCTGAAGCGCTCTTTCCGTTTCCGTGCCGGCCCGAGGTAACAGGAAGAGCGAGGTACGAGTGATGACGTTGTGTTTGGGCGAAGCCCTCTAGGGAGGGGTCCAGGGGAGGGGGGAGGGTTGGAAGGATGAGTGTTAATGGCCGTTTTCGGGTTTTCCCTCGGGTTTTTGTATGTTTTTCGGGTTCCCCCCAAGACGGCCCAAGAGCGCTCCAAGAGAGCCCAAGACCGCCCAAGACGGCCCAAGAGGCCCCCGAGAGGCCCCCAAGAGGCGCCCAAGGGGCGTCCCAAGAGGGCCCCAAGAGGCCCGAATCATTGAATTTCCGTAGGAAGACGTGCATTTTTTAGCATATACGGCTTTTCGGCTTTCAAGGCGTTAACGACGGCCCAAGAGGCCCCCAAGACCGCCCCAAGACGGACCAATAGGCTCCAAATAGGCCCCCAACACGGCCCAAGAGGGCCCCAAGACGGCCCAAGAGGCGCCCAAGACGGCCCAAGAGGGCCCCAAGACGGCCCCAAGAGGGGGACCACGAACCGAAAAGTCTAGCCTTTCGCCCCCAAGACGCTCCCAGGAGGCCCCACGAGCCCCCCAAGAAGCCCCAAGAGGCCCCCAAGAGGCGTCCCAAGAGAGCCCCCAAAGGCACAAATCATTGATTTCCGATGGGAAAATATGCATTTTTCGCATACACGGCTTTTCGGCTTTCACGGCGTTGAAGACGGTCCAAGAGGCCCCAAAGACCGCCCCAAGACGGCCCAAGAGGCTCTCAAGAGGCCCCCGAAACGGCCCAAGAGGGCGCCAAGACGGCCCAAGAGGCGCCCAAGACGGCCCAAGAGGGCCCCAAGACGGCCCCAAGAGGGGGACCACGAACTGAAAAGTCTAGCCTTTCGCCCCAAGAATTTCCCAAGAGGCCCCCAGAGCCCCCCAAGCCCCAAGAGCCCCCTAAGAAGTTCCCAAGAGGCTTCCAAAAGGGCTCTAAAAAGGCCCCAATCTGACTCCCAAGATGGCCCAGAGACGCCAAATAAAGAGAGGTCGGCAACGCAAAAAGCTCTTCACACCAAGGCTCCCAAGAGCGAACGGTGACGTAAACAAGCTGATAAGACCAAGGCTCCCAGCAGAGAGCGGTGACGTAACAAGTTCCTGACACCAAGGCCCAGCCAAGGCTCAGGAACGGGCGGCAAGGCAACAATCTCTGAACACCAGGGCTCCCAAGAGCGAGGGGTGACGTAACAAGCTCTCAACGCCAAGGCTCCCAGTGCGAACGTTGGTGTGAGTAATTTCGGTTTCGGTTTCTGAAGCGCTCTTTCCGTTTCTGTGCCGGGCCAGGTCTAATGGCTTTCGACTTATCCCGCCACCGTGCTTGGGTTGTGGGTATGAAGCCTGTTGGATGTTCCTTGGGATCTCGTGGGAGTTTTCAGGGGCCTCAGGGAGGCAGTTTTGAAGCCTCTTGGGGGCCGTTTGGGGCCGTTTTGGTGTCACTTTTGGGCCTCGCGGGGGCCTCTTGGGGCCCTCGTGACGTCTCCGGGGGGCCTCCTGGGGGCCTTTTGGGGCGGAAGGCTCGGATTCTCGATTCGTGTTCCTTCTCTTGGGCCCCTTTCGTGGCCGTCTTTGGGCCCACTTGGGCCGTCTTGGGCGCCTTTTGGGCCGTCTTGGCGCACATGCATGCGTGCATGCGTGCATACATGTATGTATGTATGTATGTATGTATGTATGTATGTATGTATGTATGTATGTATGTATGTATGTATGTATGTATGTATGTAGGTATGCATACACATACTATAGTATAGTGCAATACAATGCAAAGCAATGTACTGTCATGCAGTGTACTGCATTGTAATGTAGTGTGTTGTGATGCAAGGTACTGTAATGCAATGTAACGCCATGCAATGTAAAATAAAATAAAGCAATGTAATGTAATGTCATGCGATGTAATGTAATGTGTTGTATGGTATTGTAACGTACTGTATGTATGCAAGTCTGCAACAATGCATGCATGTATATACAAGCATGTATATTCATGTGTGTGCATGTATACATGTATGTCTGTATGCTTTGATGTCTGTATGTCGGTATGTGTATTTCTGTATGCTCGTATGTCTGCATGTCTGTATGTCTTTATGCCTGTATGTTGGTATGCCCGTCAGTTTGTCTGTATGCATGCATGCATGTATGTATATGTATGGATGTATGCATGCATGCATGTACATATGTATGTATGTATGTAAGTATGTACGTGTATGCATATACATGTGTATATGTACATGAATGCACACACATTTACATGCATATGTATAGTTTTGTTTATCTATGTATTTGTACATGTTTGTATACATATATGTATGTATGTATGTTTGTATGTATGTACGTCTGTCTGTGTGCCTGTCTGTCTGTCTGTCTGTCTGTCTGTCTGTATGTATGTATGTATGTGTGTGTATGTATGTATGTATGTAGGTAGGTATGCATGCACATACTATAGTATAGTGCAATACAATGCAAAGCAATGTACTGTCATGCAGTGTACTGCATT